TAGCTTCAGGGGGAAGCATAGCTTCAGGGGGAAGCGTGTTCCCAGCCTGGGGCGAATAAACCGGTATGACTGAAATCAGTCCAAGGAAAGGCTAGACTGGAGGTGGGCTGGTAGGTCTGAGCATCGGTTTTGATGGAAGCCCTCAGAACCTCTGCCTACATGGCTTTTGCGTTTTTTGGGACTTAAGAGGTAGAGAGCAGTGTTATGTTGGGTTCTGAAATGGGTAGACTGGCTTCCCTGAGGACCCACCCTCCCCGCCGGCAGTGGTTGCACAATGCCTGTCACACCTCAGGGAATCAGGTGCTTCTGGATTGCCTGACAGCAGCCCTCAGGGTGATTGGCCTAATCAGGGCGACTTACCATACTTCCCCACTAGCTGCAAGACCTATGCAGAGCTTCAACAGGTGTTAACGGGAGTTGAGCATGAAAAACACTATCTAGAATATGGACCCCCAGGGCACCGATGAGGAGTTGTTCACTGTAGGAATGAGAAATCTGGTGCTGCATATAGCTCCTCCATCTCTCTCTGTCCCTAGTGACTATTCTTGCCCCACACATAGGGCAGCCCATAAGTGAGGCTACTCTAGCAGACGTGGGGGAGGTTGAAACAATAAGAGCACGGAAGGAAGTACGGGCTATGACTGGAAGGAGAGGTGCAAAGGGCCCCGTGAAGGTCTCGAGGACCTAGATGTGGGTTGATTCGATAAAGGCTGGGATAGTGAAAGAAAATCTTGATGGGCAGCCCAGTAAGATCTTGTTAGAACTGTGGCACCAATTAAAGCCAAAGTAGCAGTTCCAGTTGCTGAGGTGCAGGACACGGAAGCGGGAGACGAAGCCCCATGTCCAGCCTGTGTCCTTGAAGGATTTCCTGGGGGACAGTACTCAGGATCCGCCTGGGCCCCTGCCCCCACAGGAAGGTGATTGGGTGTTGCAGTTTGACTGAGGAGGGAGGCCAAGGCCCCCCACCTTGGGGGATGTAGAGGGGACTGGAGGCCACATGCAGAATTAGCAATTCATTGGTCCCCTGTTAAGTACAACATGTCCCGGCACTGGTGGACACAGGAGCTGAATATTCTTTCATTTATGGCAACCCTGAGCAGGTTCCTGGGATCCCTGTGGTGATAGATGGCTATGGGAGTTGAGGCACTGGAAATACTGCAGTTTACCCACAGTGGCTTTGGCTGGTTGTGGGATCTCACTGAGTCTTAATATCTTTATAGCCAAATGTGGTGATAATGGTACCTGCTTCCTGCTGTTTTGGGAAAATACATGAGTTGATATGCAGACATGCCCCTGTAGTGTCAGGCAGAGAGTACTATTACTTCATCTGTTAAATCACTGTCAGTGGGGTCCTGGTAGCATCTGCATCCAGGGCCAGGTCACCAGAATGTTCAGCACCCACGGAGGCCTTCAGCTGACTTTTCTATTTTTCAAGTTCTTTAGGATTTTTCATGGTTTCCTTTGCCACTGCCTCTGGGATGGTTGTACGCCCAGGGTTGGCTGCAGAGCAGTGACCCTCGTCTTGGCTGCTGCACAGGTACCTCTGGTCTCACTGTTAACACTGGAGAAGGGCGTCTTGGTCTTGTGCTGTTGACATTTGGGTCCCATGATGCTCTCCTGTGGGAGCTGGGCCCTGTGCGGGGTTTGGCAGCATGTCTGCGTCTACCCATAGCTGCCGACAGTCAGACATCTCCAGACGTTGCTGAGTGCCCTTGTCGGACAGAATCATCCCTGGGTGAGGGCTGGTGCCCTAGGGGGGAACACGAGGGGGGTTCCCAGGGCAGAGGACCTTACCCAGGATGAGGAGCTTTCCTGTCTGTCCTTCTGGAATTACTTGCTGGAATCCTTTTCCCTTTCCTTTCCTCATTTGTTCCAGAGTCAGGTAAATCAAGCAGACTTCATTGTTGGGCCCCGCCATTTACCCACAGACATTGTGGAGGATCCCGGTGCTTACAGTGGCACCGTGCTGGGAGACGGGGTTCAGGGCAGGTACGCATGGCAGGGGGAGGGCGGCCTGCCCTGCTCAGTCCTGGTTGTGGCTGGGGTGGCCGGTGAGTCCCCCACAGGGTGTTGTGAAGACTGAAGGAGAGAGTGCCCACGCTCTGGATGCCTGCCCTGCGCCAGGTGCCACCATGTGCTGCCTTCACTGATTCCCTCAGCCCTTGTAGCAGCCTGGCACTCTTTCTTTACAGCCAGACGAAACTGAAGTCCAGGGAAGTGAGAGAGATTTGCCGCTTGCTCAAGGTCTCAAAACGAGAGAGGGGAGTGCCAGCCGCCTTGGGACTGTCACCCTGGCTCTTGCAGAGTGGGGCAGAGGTCGGGGGTCTGATTGGGAAGGGCTTGGGGTGCCTTGTCAGGGAAACAGGATCGCTCAACTCCGCCAGTGCTTCTTAATCTTTTAAAAAGCTGTCTTCTACTTGTTTTCTTGGTCTGACCTCATCTTCCTGTCGGGCAAGACAGTTCATAGAGCCTGGCTTACTGCTGCGTGTAATATGAACAGGAAGTATCTGTATGTACTTTATAAAGCTCTCTTCCCCTTCCCCCCCATTCTGGGAGGTTCCCTCTTCCCCAGAGAATGTCTGCCAGACAGCGGGAGTCAGGGAAGGAGTTGCAGCAGGGAGGCATGAGGGGTGGCGTGGGGTGGGCGTTGGGCCCGGCCTCCAGGCTCAGTCAGTGGGATGCACCGGCCGGGCAGCTCTCTGCCTGACCTGCCTTCCCGCAGGCTGGTCACCTTAGGCCTTATCCCACAGGGACCCTTCTAACCTAGAGGCTGGAGTTGTGCAAACACAGCATAAATCTAGGGGAAGCCGGGGTCTAGGCTGAATCACAGCATGGTAGAAATGAGCATGATTTGGGAGCATCAGTTTAGAAGCACTAGCGGAGCGGTGTTTTGGCCAGCAGCCTGCTTAGTGAGGAGTGTGCAGGAGACACTACCAGGTCTCCTGCTACCAGACCCCAGGACCCACGGATTCTGGCACATCTGTGGACAGTGTACACACCACATTAGCTGTGGTGTTCAGAAGCCGAACATGAGAACTGGGCCTGTTTTCTGGCCTGGACAGAGGAGACCTTGGTTTTTCTCCTGGGGTTTCCTCTCTGTGCGCCTGTGTGCTAGAGGTGCTTGCTAGTGGGGATGCATCGGAGTGGAACTTCAGGACAGCAGGTGTGTATTCAGAGGGCAGAGGGACAGGAGGCATTTTTTGTGGACATGTATGTTGAGATCAAGGGTCGCTCCTTGTTAAGTCCTAGTTGGTTGGGTTTGCAGGGTCACTTTAGGATTCTGCAGCTCAAAGGAAGGCTCGGAACTAGGGTGAGGCTTGCATCTAGCTTTTAGGAGAGGCCTAGACTATACTGTGTGCTTTTCTGTCATCCACAGCAACTACTGGGAGGTAAAAGTTAAAAATGTTAAAATAAATGTGGACAATTGGCTCTAGTCTTGCCTCCTCCGGATGGAGCACAGTAAGAAAATAGCTGGTTGCCCTGTTCCTGTCGTTCAGGCTGTTTCCCTCTGCCTCTTCGGTGAGGCCTCCGTTCAGAGTGACCCTTTCCATCATTTTCCATCATACTCCCTGTTTTTAAAAATGCAACTTTGAGGTATAATTTACATACAATAAAATAAGCCCATTTTTTCCCCATGTAATCACCATTACAAAATGTGGACCGTAACTGCCACCTGCGGAAGGATTGCATCTGCCTGCCCTCTTCCCAGTTCCAGGAGAGCTCTGAGCCGACTTCCAGAGCCGTGTGGAGGTGGAGTCATACAGTATGCTCTGCGTTTGCGGCTCCTTTCACTCAGTTCCTGCCTTTGAGTTGCAGGTGACATAGTTCGTTCCTTGGTGCTGAGTCGCAGACCACTGTATGGATAAAGCACAGCATATCCTTTCCCCACTGATGAAATTCAGGTTGTTACCAGTGTTTGGCTACCACGGAAACCTGCTCTGAACACTTGGGTATGAGTCTGTGTGGATATGTTTTATTTCCTTTGGAAATAAAACCCTAGCACGATTGCTTTCACGTGATACATGTATGTTTAACTTGTGTGAAAACTACCAGACTCTTCACAGTGGTTCTACCATTTATAGTTTCCCCAGCAATGTACAACAGCTTCACTTTTTCCTATCTTAACCTAAACTTGGTGTATAATGGATTTAATTTATATGATCCCGATTATAGGTGCTGTTGATCATCTTTTCTTGTACTTATTGGTCATTTGTGTATCTTCTTTTGTGAAATGGATATTTGAACCTTTGGCTCATCTTCTATGGTTTATCTTTCTGATTGGTAAGAGTTCTGCTTCTATTCTGGATACTTGTCCTTTGTCAGATACATGTATTGCAAATATTTTTTCCTTGTCTGTCTTGTCTTTTCACTTTCTTAGTGCTGTCTTTTGAAGAACAGAAGTTTTTCATTTTATGTGTTTTTTTTAAAATTTTCATTTATTTATTTATTTATTTTGGTATCATTAATCTACAATTACATGAAGAAATTTATGTTTACTAGGCTCCCCCCTTCACCAAGTACNTTCTGTGATTCTGCTCCTGTTTTGTTCCTTCAGTTTTTCTTTGTTTTATACTCCACATGTGAGTGAAATGTGGTACTTGTCTTTCTCTGCCTGGCTTATTTCACTGAGCACAATACCCTCTAGCTCCATCCATGTTGTTGCACATGGTAGGATTTGTTTTCTTCTTATGGCTGAGTAATATTCCATTGTGTATATGTACCACATCTTCTTTATTCATTTATCTACTGATGGACACTTAGGTTGCTTCCATATCTTGGCTATTGTAAATAGTGCTGCGATAAATATAGGGGTGCATCTGCCTTTTTCAAACTGGGCTGCTGCATTCTTAGGGTAAATTCCCAGAAGTGGAATTCCTGGGTCAAATGGTATTTCTATTTTGAGCTTTTTGAGGAACCTCCATACTGCTTTCCACAATGATTGAACTAATTTACATTCCCACCAGCAGTGTAGGAGGGTTCCCCTTTCTCCACACCCTTGCCAGCATTTGTTGTTGTTTGTCCTTTGGATGGTGGTGATCCTTACTGGTGTGAGGTGATATCTCATTGTGATTTTAATTTGCATTTCTCTGATGACAAGCAATGTTCTATGGTTTTTATTTTTATGTTTAATGGTTCATCCTTTTTATGTCCTATCAAAGAAATCTTTGCCTACATCAAAGTCATGAAGATTTTTAAAAAGTGTTTTCTTCTAGAAGTGCTATAGTTTTAGCTCTTACATTTAAATCAGCCCTTCTTTATGTTGTATTTTGAATTAGATTGTGTATATCAAATAAGGTAGTAAAGTACACATTCATTTTCTCCCCTATGGATATTAATTACTCCAGCTTCATTTGTTGAAAAAGACTATTGCTTCCCTATTGAAGTTCCTTGGCAACTTTATCTAAAATAATTGGACCACATATATACAGCACCATTTTTATTTGTAAGTGAATTGAAAACGTGAATCTTATATATTATGACTTTGAAGGTAACTCAAGATCTTGCAGTGCTTTTGAAGTATCATAATGAGCATTCATTTTGTATTCTGGTGAATTACCTTTTATTTAGAAAATTCATTATAGAGATATTACAAGTAATTGCAATAACTGACCACAGACGGGATCCTGGACTAGAGGGAAAAAAGCTTCAGAGAATATTAATAGATCAAGTAAATAGGAATAGGAATAATAGATTAGATAAAATTCTATGTTAATGTAAGTTTATGAAGTTGACAGTTGTACTATCATAACATGGGAGAATATTCCTGTTTTTAATAGATACATGCTAATGTATTTAGGAGTAAAGGACCATATATATAACTTACTCTCAAATTATTAAAAATGTGAGTATGTGGATATATGGAGTGTGAATTGAACACAAATGATAAAATGTGGTAAAGTGTTAACAATAGGTAAACCTGAATAAAGTGTATACCACTTTTGCTACCTTGCAATTATTTGTAAATGAAAAGTTTTTAAAAATAAAAAGCTAAAAAAACCCATTGTATCATCTTGTTGCCTTAATATTTGCCTTTTCCTAAAAAGTAAATTTAAATATATTAAATAGCTATTAACAGTGATTTAAAAAAATCTAGGTTAGTGTGCTTATACTTGTTTGAAATACAAATAGAAATTTACTTGAAAAATAAACAGCCATTCTAGATGTACTCTATAAATGTTGAAAATGTTTTATGGTGTCTTGTGTTGCAAATTCTGCCTCTGAAATCCAGTCCTTTAAGTAAATTAGCCTGTCTGAAGTTTTCTGATGATAGAGTTTGTCTTCTTCCAATATCTTTAAATACTTACTTTGATTAATACGAGTGATTTAAAATTATTACAGAGCCCTGTGCACAAGATCCCTGTGTATGTCTTAGTCAAGAATCGCTGTGAAGTTTAGGTATCACTCCTGGAATTTGATGTGAACGTAACTCTTTTACTGAGTCCTGTTGTGTGTTCGACCTATTCTCTGACACAACAAAATCAACAGAAGAAGCCTGTAAGCTGCCAGATACAGATAATTCTAGGGTAGAAATGGGAGAGGACTGAGGGGGAAATCAGTGCCGCCAGCAGGGTCTCGTAAGGTGGTGGTTAGTTGACCTGGTGAGAGCCACCGTGCCCCTCCCCGTGGGGAGTGAGAGCCGTCCCCCGTGTGCGGCCGTCAGCGAGAGTTGCCTCCTTCTGTTGTGCTGGTCTAGTGGAGGCCGCTGCTGTTTCATCGCATTTGCCCGTTTGAGTGTCTTAATTGACTTGGTGCAGGGACTTTTGCTTTTCTTCGTCTCTAGTCATGCTGTGAAGCTAAAGTGTACATTTATACACAGTGTATTCATTTAAGTTAATCTCATTACCCCTACATAAGTCTTTGCATTTCTGCTCTTTTACTATCTCTCTGTTCCACATTCTTACTGTTTGCTGAGTACTTCTGAGCTTATGACAATGCTTTCTAAATCTAACTTATCCAGACTCTTGTCATTGGCTAGGGCTATTCTGAATCTTGCCAATATTCATGCTAATACCTTCTTCAGGTTTCCTTAATTTGCAGGATTTTAAAGTTCACTCTCTGCGACCCATCAACCGTGCTACGCTAGACAGGGTGTCATTGCTGTGGATGGGGCTCTAGGCTGTGATTGTGAGTTCGTGTTCACTTCACAGTGGGGAGGTGATAATTTGGGATAACAAAGCAACGTTCCATCACACAAAGAAGGTATTTGTGACCCTGTGTTACAGCTTCTTCTGAAATGATGCCTGCTCTTGAAATGACCTGGCTCTTTTTTAGGGGCCTTTTGGGCAGTTGCATGTGTGCAGCACCCATTAGTGGCGGTGAGCAGGCCCTGGGTGAGAGCTCACCAGCTGTGCAGGGACGCGGCTTCCAAAGCCAAGTCAGAGCCAGCTCTGTGCATCTGTAGTGTGCACTCTCCGAACCTGCTGGGGCACCTGCATCTTTGCTTGTATACTCTGACGTGATGATGGAGAGTTGGTCACAGGGATTTTAGTTTTTTTAAAAAAATGGTAGGAAACAATTCCTTTATTGAGAAAAATCTGAAATGAACAACTTTAAAATGCTTTTAGAAGATTCCAAATATTAACTTTTTAAAATGTAAATCTCCAGAATGACAGAGATGTATGTTTTAAAGTTCAGTTTTTACATTTCATTTGCTGACTTTTTTGAACCATAAGCCCCTTTTCAGAATCTGTGGATCCCAGGGATTTGAGCTTCTTCCCCAAGCCTGTGCCTGACCCCCAGCACCCGGGCTGTGGTTTCTGCTTCACGGTGGTCACCATGGGCACTTTGTTAGCCTGCGTAGGCAGGACCTGTGCCACAGCAGTGACTGTGCAGGTGCTGAAGAGAAGAGGGTGTTACTGTTGGTTTTGGGGAACTTAGGCTGTCTGGGTTTGTTGGACAGTGAAGGAAGGAAGGAAGGAATTCAAAGTGAGGACTTAACATTCTTTCCTAAGCTTCATTCTCCTTTAGCTGTTAGCCTCGTGTTGTCTGAAGACAGCTCTGTGCTTCAGCTTGTCTATTTGTCAAGCCCTAGAGGTCTGCTCCCTCCTGCCTGCCTTCCCCTTAGCATGGGGAGTTTGAGGCCCTTGGGAAAATAAATCCAATATAAATGGACAAGATGGTTGAAGGGGTCTGGGCAGGGGACGATGAGGACAGAGTAATGTGCTTCTCACAACAGCAAGGAAGAGGGGAGCCAATCTGTACCCAAAGTCATTGGGCCCCTGTGGCCTATGATCAAACCAGTGAGTTTCCTGAGAGGCCTGGCTTTTCTTGAGACCCAAGAGAAACTTCTGTGGATCTTCACTAAGAATACCTTCTCCCCCACCCCTACAGAGAGGATGAATTTCTTGCTGCCCAGTCTCTAAAGGCCTGTGGTGAGACCAAGGCCTTTATCCACCAAGGGAGGATAGAGAACTGTCCCTTGGGTGATTACCATTGATGGTCTGTAGATAGTAATAAAATTAAAATTGCTGAGAAGCATGAGTGAACTACTTGTCCTTCAGATTATCCTTCAAAATAGCCCAATTTTGGGATGAGGTGGCAATAAATTCTTGGTGGTGGTATTGGATATTCAGTGTTCCACTGAGAGGCAGTGCCACGACTTTGACGTCCCGTAAGGGAAAAGTGAGAAGGAGTCTTCTTGTGACTCTCAGAGAAGCAGCCACGTGGGTCTGTGCCCCACCTCGGCTCACGGACAGACGCAGCCTCCAGGGCACTGTTGTGGCGCGTCCTGGGGGGCTGTGAGGAGCCGCGGCCCCAGAGTTCCCCCCTGCAGAGCAGCGCTGTGGTGATGTCAGACTGGAAAGGGTTTAAAGGAGTTGTCTGGGGGATTTAAGGAACAAAGGAAATGAAAAGCAGTAGTGAGAACACAAGAACAAAGCACCTCAGTTGACACACCCTTAGAAACATCTGATCTCAAGGGCACCCTTGCCCCTCTCCCAGCCCTGCTCACTCTCTCCTTGGATAGAAGCCTGGGTCTTTCCCTACA